TTGGCGCTCTTTCCTGGCTCTTTCGCCCTTTGTGCTTTCCCCAGATGGTATGGCTCCCAGTGCTGCGGCTGGGGGACCTTCAAATGCTGAAAAATCTATTGAAATGATTATATGGTTTTAGTCCTTTCTCTTATTGATGTACCAGATTGATTTATGAACATTGAACCACCGTCCCATCCCAGGAGTAAATCCCACTTGATCATCATGAATGATTTTTTAATGTATTGTTGGATTTAGTCTGCTAATATTTTGTTGAGAATTTTGCATCTATGTTCATCAGCAATACTGGCCTCTCTTTACTCGTGGTGCCTTTATCTGGGTAATGCTGGCCCCGTAGAATGAATTTGGAAGTTTTTCTACCACTCTTATTTTTGGAATAGTTTGAGAATAAGTATAATTCCTCTCTAAATGTTTGGTAGAATTTACCTATGAAGCCATCTGGTCCTGGACTTTTGTTTCTTAGGAGTTTTTTGATTACTGATTCAATTTCATTGCTGGTAATTGGTCTGTTCAACTTTTCTATTTCTTCCTGCTTCAGTTTTGGTAGATTATGTTTCTAGGAATTTATTCATTTCTTATAGGTTGTCCAATTTGTTGGCATGTAATTTTCATAATATTCTTTTTTTTTTTTTTTTAAAGATTTTATTTATTTATTTGAGACAGAGAGAATGAGAGAGAGAGAGCACACGAGAGGGGGGAGGGTCAGAGGCAGAAGCAGGCTCCCTGCCGAGCAGGGAGCCCGATGCGGGACTCCATCCCGGGACTCCAGGATCATGACCTGAGCCGAAGGCAGTCGCTTAACCAACTGAGCCACCCAGGCGCCCCTCAATGTAATTATTGATAGGGATGTATATATTACCATTTTGTTACTTCTGTTACAGTTGTTTTTGTAGGTTTTCTCTGTTCCTTTTTTCCTTTGCGCTCTTCTCTCATGACTAGTTAGCTTTCTTTAGTGACATATTTGGATACCATTCCCTTCAATTTTTGCCCTTCTATAACTGGTTTTTGATTTGTGGTTTATCATTAGGTTTGTACATAACATTTTCTGCATAGAGCGGTCTATATTAAGTTGATGGTTGTTTAAGATGAACCCGTTCTTTACTCCCCCCAACCTCATCATTTAGGTATATGGTGTCCTGCTTGACATCCTTTTATTTTCTGATTCCCTTGCCTGATTTTTATAAACACTTACTTTTACTGGTTTTGAGCTTTTCTTAATCTTACTTACAGTATTTTCTGTCCACTCAAAAAGTCCTCTTTAACACTTCTTGTAGGGCTGGTTTAGTGCTCATGAATTCCTTTAACTTTTGTTTTCTGGGAAGCTCTTTATCTGTCCTTTTATTCTAAATGATAGCCTTGCTGGATAGAGTATTCCTGGCTGCAGATTTTTTCCTTTCAACACTTGAATAGATCATGCCACTCCCTTCTGGCCTGTAATGTTTCTGCTGAAAGCTCAGCTGATAACCTTATGGGGTTTCCCTTGTATGTAACTTTTTTTTTTCTCTCTTGATGCTTTAAAAAATTCTCTTTATCACTACTTTTTGCCATTTTGATTACTGTGTGTCTTGGTGTGGACACCTCCTCCAGTTGAGTTTGTTCGAGGATCTCTGTACCTCCTGAATCAGGATTTCTTTTTCCTTCCTTCCTTCCGTTTCTTCAGCTGTTATTTCCTCAAATAAATATTCTGCCCCCTTTTCTCTCTCTTCTCATTCTGGGATCCCTATAATGCATTTGTTATATGCTTGATCATGTTGCCAAGTTCTCTAAATCTAGTCTCATTTTGCATATTTTCCCCCTCTTATCTGGTGAACGTGATTACTTTCCATTACTCTGTCCTCCAGGTCACTGATCCATTCTCTGAGCCCTCTAGCCTACTATTTATTCTATTTAGTGTGTGTGTATGTATGTCATTTATTGTGTTCATTTATTGTGTTCCTCATCTCTGATTGGTCCTTTTTTATCTCTTTGGTAAGGGTCTCACTGATGTCCTCCGACTCTTTTCAAGTAGTATCATTTTGGCTGTTACTTTAAATTATCAGGTATATCACTTAACTGTTTTCCTTAGGTCTCTTGCTGTGATTTTTGTCCTGTTCTTTCCTTCTTTTGGAACATATTTACCTGTCTCCTTATTTTGTCTAACTCTCTGTGTCTGTTTCTGTGTTAGGAAGGTCAGCTATGTCTCCTGCTCTTAAAAGTGGTGGCCTTCGGAAGAGGTCCTGTAGCGCCGTGTGTGTCCCCTGTTCACCAGGACCTGGTGCCTCATGGGGTGTCTCCTCTGTGTTGCGTACAGCATCCTGTTGTGGCTGAGCTGCTTTTTCCTTCAGGCCCGTCATCTGCAATGGCTCTCTCTGCCTGTTTGGTCCCTGTGCTGTTGGAGGGCCAGTCTGGGGCCACGTGGGCTTGAGCTGAGTCACACCAGGCATTTATGAGATGCAGCAGCACCAGACCAGAGTGCTTTTCCTGTGTTGTCCCCTGAGCAGCTTTTGTTGGTGGGCAGGGCCTGTAATCAGACCAGCTGTCTGTCCCCGGTCCCCTGCTGGGGCGCAGCCTGACTGGTGCGTGGAGTCCTCGTTCCCTCTCCCGGGGCAGGAGTCTCTTTGAAGGCCCTGTTGGGGCTGCTTGCACACCGCCATGCTTAGGGTCCCACCTTGAATGGGCTCCAGCCGAGACTCTACTGGAGGGGTAGATCTGCATTGTGCGTGGGGGTGGGCTATGCACTGTTTGCAAGGGGTGGTGCTGGCGCTCTGCAAGAGGAGACCAGCTGCTGCAGGGAGCGAGGCTAGCCTGGCTGGAGGAGCGGAGCTGCCAAAGCTCGGGGTGCAGGGAAGTGGGGGTAGCAAGGTTTGCGTGACCATCCTCTGCAGGAGGGGACCCACGGTGCTGGACCGAGGCAGGCAGGGGCTGCAGGGGCGGGGTGACAAGGTAGGTGGGAGTGTTGTGGGGTCCCCACATGCTGGGGGACAGGGGAGGGAAATGGTGCCTGCCAACCATCTCTGCGCCTGGGGCCATGCTCTGAGGGGTAAACAGCGCTCCCTCCCTATGGTCCAGGGTTTCTTCAGCTGCTGCCTCTGTGTTGTAGCTCTGCAGGCTGTCTGTCCCACTGTTGCCGGAGCTGGGGACTCTGTTTCCTTCGGCCCTCCCAGAACCGGGCTGCTGCTTTTTCAAATTGCAGGTTTTAAGTCCTGCTGGTTGTAAGAACTCCTAAAATTCAGCCCCTCTGGTTTTCAAAGCCCAATGTTTCAGGGATTCGCCTTCCCCATGCGGCTCCTGGTTAGTGTCCCCCACCCCCCCACCCATGGACAGCCGCCAGGCCCGGGGAGCTTCCTGCCGCGCCTCCGCCCTTCCTGGCCTCTTCCATGGGGCCTCTTCTCTGCCTCGACTTGTGGAGTTGGTTCTGGTCGTGTTCTGCCTTATTCACACGGATGTCATCTAGCTGTATGTGGGGACGAGGCGAGCTCAGGGTCCTCCCACCAACTCTGCCATTCCTAAGTGCTTTAAATATTACTGATTCTGGGGGTGAGATTTCTTTCTAGAATGTTTACCTAGAATCCTAGTTCCTGGTATCTCCGAGCCGATTTGTCTAGTAAAGAGGTGGTTGAAGGTGAGCGCCGCCCCCCCCCCCCCCCAGGTGAGAGGAAACGCATCACTCACAGGGGCTTTGGCTCTGTGGGGACACTGCCTTTCTCACATCAAGTGGGATTTGCTGCCCTCCCCTCCCCCCGGAGCCACCTTCTGGGAGGAGCTCACTGGTGATGAGACCCGCGTGAGAGTCCCCAGGTTGTCCTTTATGCACGTGATTCGTGCTCCTCCAGGCCCTCGGGCACCTGCAGCTCTGACGTCAGGATGGCTACTCTCAGGAGTAGGTACGGTGTGGGGGGCGGAACCCTGGGGTCTGCAGGTGAGCCCAGGGACAGGAAGCCTTGTCCGGGGACAGAGTTGCTGTTGGGGTGAAGGGCCTGTTTTGTTGTGTCATCCCATGGCTCCTGTTTGTCTACTGGAATGTTCCCTGTCTCCCCACCCCTTTCTGCCGCCACTCGGGAGAACTATTTTTAGGGGGCTGAGAACAGGCTGCTCCCTCAGGCAGGCTCTTTGCTGGCAGTTAGGCGGTTAGGAGGGTCGCAGGTCCCCGCACCCGGTCCCCGGCCTGCCGCAGACAGCCCCATGACACGGCACCACGCACGGTCTCTGTGCCCTCGTTCTCGGTCTGCCCAGAACAGGAGCTGCCTTAGAGCTCGTTACCAGGGCTGGGAAGTGCTCTGAGGAATAACAGCTTCAGACACCCCAAGGGTGGACCTAGGGTTCTAGGCTTTGTCCGGTTCTGTGAACGTTCACCGGCCCACATTTGGGAGGGGAGACAGACCGCAAACGGCTAACGGGGACAGGAGATGATACAGGGACATCACAGAAGCACAGAGAGGAGCGGAGGGGACCCCGGAGGGCTCCTGGGCACACCGTGTGCTGGGGCGTCCCGTCTGAGGGCAGTGGGGCGGGGCAGGGGTGCAGGGGGATGGGGTGGGGCGGGTCTCCGCGGGAGCACCTGCCAGGGGCTGCAGGTGGAGGATGGAGCAGGTGGGGGTTCCAGGGGAAGGCCACGTGTTCACGCCTCTGCCCCCGCCCCCGCCAGGTGCACCTGATGAAGCCAGATGCGGTCCCCAAGGCGTGCTGCGCCCCCACCAAGCTGAGCGCCACCTCCGTGCTCTACTACGACAGCAGCAACAACGTCATCCTGCGCAAGCACCGCAACATGGTGGTCAGGGCCTGCGGCTGCCACTGAGGCCCTGCCCCCGTCGCTGCTCCCCCGCCCCACCCCGGGTCAGGCCCCTCTCCAGAGGCAGGAAACCCTGCAATGCCGGCATTGCTCAGGTGGGGTGGCAGGGAGGGCCTGCCCCAGCCTGCCAGGGTCTCCCTGGCCCCTCCGCCCTTCCCCTGGGGGGTGGTAGACCGGCTGGCCCAACACACACGGACTGCACTGGGTTCCGTTCAGAAGTCCTGCCGTGGGACGTGTGCTTGGCCCCCTCCAGGCCAACGTGAGGGCCATCTGGAGCGTGAGGCCGGCTGGCGGGGCTCCGAGCGGGGAGGAGGGGTCTTCCTCTTTCCAGGGCACGCACTCACCTTCGGGACCGTGTATTCCTGGGCTCCGACCTTGGCCCACTAGCAGTTAGCACATTAGAAACAGAACAAGCCGGATGGGCCTCATACCAAGACGGAAGCCGACAGGGATGTTTTATGGCATGTGTCTTCCCCTCCTGGGGGAAGAGCTGCGACCACCCCACCCAGGAGCAGATAACCTTGGGGGCGGCCAGTTCCCTCCAGCTTTTCCATGTGAGGCTCCGCAGCACCTCGCCCACGGCCAACATCAGTAAGCAGCCCAGGTGGATTTTTCCACTGAACCCGGACAGGCCTCAGAACCCTCGGCACACGACTCCAGACCCCCAGCAGCAACCATTTCACCCACAGACGGGGCCTGGGGCCAGGGTGGGAACTGTCCGATAGAACCCAGGGCTTAAGGACAGGCTGTTCTCCAGTCTGCACCACTCTGTGTGCCCGGGAGTGAGACCTGTGAGCCCGAGACAAGGTCCCCGTCCCAGGGGAGTGACAGGCAGTAATCAGGCCGGCCCTGGGTGGGAGGGTCCCGGAAACCGCCACAGGCCATTGGAGCGTTTGATTTCTGACTCACTAAGCCTGTAAGTTACCTGCTGGCACAGACGGAGTCCTGCTGCCCAAACCCTGAAATACTGTGTCATTCAAAGCAGCTTGGGGACCCCCCCCCGTGTGCCCCAGGATGCGCCTCAGCAGTCACTCGGCACCCCGAGGAGGGGCCCCGGGACAGCAGGTGGGACAGCGGGTGTGGACGCTGGGGCCCTGCTGCAGGACAGCAGCGCCTCCGCAGGGACCGGGAAGGGACTCTGGAGAGAGCGCAGAGGGAGAGACCCTCCCCAGGTACACGGAGGGTGTGCGCAGACTGTCTGCAAGGTGGAGAGTTCCCTAGTAGCCGGGGGCTTTGACCTCAGGCTGGCAGGGATTGGAGCACAAAGTGGCTGGAGTGTCAGGAGACCTGTATTCTGGTTCCAACTCAGCCATTGACCTGTTTGCTGTCTGGACAAGGCCCCTTCCTGATTGAAGCTTCAGTGATGTGGGGACATTCCTCCCTCGGCCTGAAACCCTGACCCTCCCCTCTCTGCCACAGCCCAGACACAGCCTGAGCCCAGCTGCCGCAGGACACGAAACCTGCCATCTGGGGACCTTAGTTAATGGCTTTGTCCTCCCAACATCACGGGTAGTGGAGGTTTGGAAACTTTGGACAAATGTCAGTATTATAAGTTTGTAAAATGTTTTAAAGGTGCAGACTGCCTTGCCCATTGGGTGTGCCGAACAGGTACATATCGTGATCTGAATCCCTTTCTGTGCAATCAAGTCGAAAGTAGAGTGGTCACGGCCTTTCTGACAGACTTCTAGAACCTCCAGCCATCCAGGCAGCCACCAAATGGAAACCAAACAGAAAAGGCCTTGGAGAAAAACGATGGATGCAAAGTCAATGAAGGGGCAGCCATCTTGTTTACATGGTTGCCCCGGCAGCCCAGGCTCCCTTCAAGGCTGCACATTAGAAGCCTAAGTAAGGGTGGTCAGCTCGGGCCCGCTGACAGCAAAGGAAATGCTGCCAGGAAGAGAGGCCACGGAGGAACAGCCAAGTTTGGGGCCCTTAGCGTGGGGGGGCTGCTCTGTGTGCCGCATCTCCACCGTCCCGGCACAGCCCTGGCCCGACGCCAGCCCATCAGGCAAAGCCCCATTCTTGTGTCTCTCTGTAGGGACGTAGGTAACATGCTTCAAGAAGTGCCCAGAAAGGCACAGGAAAGGGGGCTGTGAATAGGACAGGGTGGGTTTTGGAGCCAGGAGACCTGGCGTGGAATCCTGGCTCTGCCTCTTGTTAAACTGACCACATTTTGTCACATCTGAGTGAGAGGTTTTCTTCCTCTGAATGGGGTATTGGTTCTGTCCTTGCAAGGCCATCGTGGGATCAGGTGCGTCCTCGAAAGCCCTTGGCACTGCGTCTGCACAGTGCCGAACGAATAGCATCTACCAGTGGTCTTAGTTTAAGTGAACTGGCGTAGCTGTGCCCCCCCCATTGGCCTTCCCGTTAACACCTGCTCCTCCCAGAGCATGCCCAGGAGGTGCTGCTGTGTTTACTTTAAGGCTGCATTTTTCCTAAAAAATCTAAATGTGGTCCTCTCTCAGGAGGAGGTGGGGACTTCCACAATCCCCTGCCCGTGAAAGTCCCGGCCTGCAGGGACCGACAGGGACTCAGAGTGAGCCATGCGGCCGGGTACGTCTGCTGAGGAACCCCTCCCCAAGTCCAGCACCCACCTGCGACCTCCAGGAAGCTGAAGGGGGAGCTTTCCAGAATTTCTCTTCTTACTGGGAAGCCTTGAGCAAACATTTGGCCCTTTAAAAAAAAAAAAAAAAAAGTTTTTCCTCACTGAAGAAAATATTACCTGTGCACCAGGGAAATTTTTGAAAATAAAAAGAATACAAATACACATAATCCCAGCACACAGAGCTAAGCACTGTTAATCCCTTCCAGTCTTTTTCCTTGACACACATGTCTTTTTATATAGAATATATGGCTATTTTACAAAGTTAGGATCATACTCTATGCACTACTTGATCTGATTTACTCAATCTATGGTATATTTAGAAAATCTGTTATTAAATCTTCTTTGAAAACCTAACTTGCAGCATTCCATCCCTTGACCTCTACCCCAGTTCTGTCACCATTCCTTCTGCAGAGGCGGGTGCGGGGCCCCCACGACCCTACTCTCGGGAGCCCGGGCCCGGCCCCGGGGGCTCAGGTCACCCGCCGGGAGTCTCGGGATCTGGCATCTCACCTCTGAGGCGCGGGTCACCACCTGTGGTGGCAGGGGGGGCGGGTCCCGGGTGTGGACCCAGGTGATAAACTCTGGGGAAGCCCTCGTACAGCACAGAGTGACCCACTGCCGCCCTCTGGTTCCTCATCGCCGGCTTCCCAGCCAGCCTGCTAGTCCTGCCTTCGCAGGGCCATCGGGGAAGCACAGCACGGGCCCCCTCCCTCCCCTCGTTTCACGGGGCTGTGACCAGTCCTCCCTCCGGGGGCTCCAGGCCAGCCCGTTCGTCCTCCCGGGAGCCAGCCTTACCGGGGACTTGGCGTACATCTCTTCTCGCACACCTCACGCCCACCCCGCGCAGCTGGCCTTTTCCCAGTCTCACTGCTGCCTGTCCTGACAGCCAGGGCTGAGCAGCGGTGAGAGGGCTGCCAGGGCGGGGAGCAACGGTCCCTGCTGGGAATACTGCAGGTCGCGGTCCCGGCCACAGTGGTGGGCCCCAGCCGGCCCGAGGGGACACGGGGGCCCAGCCGGCCCGAGGGGGGACGGAGCCCAGCTGAAGGCAGAGACCAAGGTTGGCCGAGGCTGCTAGAGCTGTGGCTGGTCTCCACCCCGCCGCGGGAGCTGTGCTGGGGTCACAGGCCAGCAGGCTCCTCCCCTCCCCTCCAGGCTCAACCTGACTTCAACCCAAAATGAGGACCAGCCTTGCCCAGTGGTTTCTGAGTGTCGAGCCTTGATCTAGAGCCCCTGGCCGGCAGCAGGGGAGCGAGCAGGTGGCAGCCCTGGACGTTGTTTCTGGTGACCGATGGGACACGCTGCGAGGTGGCCCGGCTGGCCAAACACCGGTGTAGGGTGAGAGCAGCAAGGCTACCAGCTGTGGCACCAGACTGATTGCCACTGGGTCTGGAGTCCGGGGTGGGGGGCGGGGGGCGGCATCTCTGGCGGGCTCCTCCAGTCTCCCCAGCGCCAAGCCCAGTGCCTGGCGGGAGGACCCCGGGCGCTCTGCGTACTACAGTGCTGAGCATCGGGTCAGTGGCTGGACAACGGGTGACTGGGTGCCCATGAGACACACGACCGGGCGTGAGGGCACGAGTGGAGCCTGGCTCAGCTGACTCACTGGCCCGATAGCAGGGGTCGCAGGGGAGAGGAGGACAGAGGCACTTCGCGCCAGCTCTGAGCTCGGCTGCCCTGCAGCAGTCTGACAAGGGGAGCTCTCAGGGACTCGGGCCGGGTGGGAGGGAAAGAGCAGGGGCGGGTGCTCTGGTCTGTCAGGGAGATGGTCCAGTCACAGCCGCAACCCTGCAAACACCTGGGACCGGGCTGGCAGCAGCAGCACAAACACTAGGACTGACTTTATCAGAAGCGATGCCCTCAGAAGGACGTTTGTGCAGACTGTTGACAGCTCTTCAAGCAGGCAGCTCAAACTCCAGGACAATACCATGTGGATGCCTCAGTCTCTCACCCAAGGGACAGTCAATGAAATGGTGAGCAGAGCTGTTTAAATCATTTTAGATTGGTATATGCTTTCATTCATTCAACAAATACTTATTGTCTACTTTGTAACCAGGCTCCTGTTAAGCCCTGGGGACACTGGTCCCAGCCCTGGTGTAGCTCGCAGTTTAGCCACTCAAAAGTAACTGTGGATTCATCTCAGGAATGCAAGGCTGGTTTAACATCCAAAAAGCAATATAATATAGCACATTAACAGAACAGAGTACAAAAAACACATGATCACCTCAACGGACAAGGAAAAGGCACCGTGCAAAACCCAACACCTTTTCATGATAAACACTCAACAAACTAGGAATAGAAGGGAACTTCCTCAGTCTGACGAAGAGCACCTACAAAAAAAACCCCACATGGTGAAGACTAGATATTTTCCCCCTAAGATCAGGAATAAGACCAAGATGTCTACCCTCACCACTTCTATTCAACATTGTACTAGAGGGTCTAGTCAGGGGAAATTGCAAAAAAAAATGAAGTGAAAATTGGAGACAACATGAACTTATACAGAAAATCCTAAGGCATCCACTAGAAAACTATTAGGACTAATAAATTCAGCAAGGTTGCAGAATACAAGATCAATATACAAAAATCAATTTATTTCTATACTTTAGCAATGAACAATCTGAAAATGAAATCAAGAAAACAATTCCAAGGGCGCCTGGGTGGCTCAGTCAGTTAAGTGTCTGCCTTTGGCTCAGGTCATGATCCCAGGGTCCTGGGATCGAGCCCCACATGTCAGGCTTCCTATTCAGTGGGGAGCCTGATTCTCCCTCTCCCTCTGCCACTCCCCTTGCTTGTGGTTTCTATCTCGCTGTCAAATATTTAAAAAAAAAAAAAAAAAAAAATTCCATTTACAGTAACATCAAAAGAATAAATACCTAGAAATAAATTCAACAGAAGTATAAGCTTATGTTCTGGTAGCTATAAAATATTCCTGAAAGAAATTAAAGAAGATCTAAACAAATGGAAAGACACCCATGTTCGTGGATCGGAAAACTTAATACTGTTAATACGGCAACACTTCCCAAACTGATCTCCAGATTCAGCGCAACCTCTGTCAAAATCCCAGCTGACTTTTTTTGCAGAAATTGACAAGTTATTCCCAAAATTCATATGGAAAAGCTAGAGACCTAGAACAGCCAAAACAACCTGGAAAAAAGAACAAAACTGTGGAGGACTCACACCTGTCAAATTCAAAATGTACTACGGAGCTACAGAATACATGACAGAGTGGAACTGGCATAGGACAGATCTATAGATCGATGAAACAGAATAAAAGGCCAGAAATAAAACCCTTACATCTATAGTCAATTGATTTTCAACAGGGATGCCAAGACATTTAAACAGGAAAAGAACAGCCTTTTCAACAAATGATGCTGGGACAACTGGACATCCACGTGCAAAAGAAGGAAATTAGACCTCTTTTTCTCACACTATACACAAAATTTAACTCAAAATCGATCAAAACCCTAAATGTAAGAGCTAAGCCATAAACCTCTTAAAAGAAAATATAGGAGTAAATCTTCGTAACCTTAGGTTAGGCAAAACCTTCTTAGTTACGATGTCAAAAATATACTGATGGGGCGCCTGGGCGGCTCAGATGGTTAAGCATCTGCCTTCGGCTCAGGTCATGATCCCAGGGTCCTGGGATCGAGGACCGCATCAGGCTCCCTGCTTGAAAGGAGGCCTGCTTCTTCCTCTCCCTCTGCTGCTCCCCCTGCTTGTGCTCTTTCGCTCTCTCTGTCAAATAAATAAAATCTTAAAAAATATATATATATATACTGATGGAACTAAAAATAGATAAATTAGACTTCAACAGAATTAAAACCTTTTGTGCTTCAAAGTACACCATAAAGAAAGTAAAAAGACAACCCTTGCAAATCATGTATCTGATAAGAGATCTATACCTAGAATATTGAAAGAACTCTTGCAATTCACTAATAAAAAAATAAATAACCCAATTAAAAAATGGGCAAAGGATCTGAATGGACATTTTCTCAAAATATACAAATGGTCAATAAATGCATGAAAAGATACTCAATATCATTAGCCATCAGGGAAATGCAAATCAAAACCACAATGAGTGGAGCACCTGGGTGGCTCAGTAGGTTGGGTATCCAACTCTTGATTTTGGCCATAATCTGGGGGTCGTGGGATCGAGCACTGCATCAGCACAGTGCAGAGCCTGCCTGGGGTTTTCGCTCTCCCTCTCCCTTTGCCCCTCGTACTCTCTCAAAAAACAGAACAAAGCAAACAAAAATAAAACCACAATGAGACAGCACTTCATACCACTCAGATAATATAAAGAGAATATAAAAGAGCTGGTAACCAGGGATGGCGGGGATATACAGAGAAACCGGAACCCTCACAGGTTGCTGATGGGAATACAAAATGGCGCAGGCACTTTGGAAAATAGTCTGGCACTTCCTCAAAATTAAAAAATGGTTATCATATGCCCCAGCATATCTTCCCAGGAAAAATGAAAATATATGTCCACACAAAAACTTATACATGAATGTTCAGAGCAGCATTATTCATAATACCCAAAAAGTATAAACAACACAAATGTCCATCAACTTATGAATGGATAAACAAATTGTGGTATATCCATACACTGATTATTCATTGGCAATAAAAAAGAATTAAGTACTGATACATGCTATATCATAGATGAACTTTTTTGAAAACATTATGCTAAGTGGAAGCCAGCCACAAAAGGCCACATATTGTGTAATTCTATTTATATGACATGTCCAGAATAGGCAAAACCAGGAAGAGAGAAAGTAGATTAGTGTTTGCCTAGGGCTGGGGGACAAGAAGGGGGTGCTAAAGGGTGCGACGTTTCCTTTTGGAGAAAAATGTTCTAAAATTATTGTGGTAATGACTGCGTAACTATAAGTACAGTAAAAACCACTGAGATGTATACTTTAAATGGGTGAACGGAATGGTATGTGAATTGTATCCCAATGAAGCTGTTTAAAAAATAAAAAAAAAATAAAAAATAAATCATGCTACAGAACAGCAGAGCCTAGTGGCACAGACATTTGCTCAGCAAATGGAAGCAGAAGACAGTCACCTA